TTCACTTTTTTTGTTGTGCTATATTAGAACAAAATGACTTTTACTGCAGTCATCATCCCATTATAGAAATAAGCAAACATGGGCAGAAATAAAGACAATATCTTACCATCAAACCCCGCCACCCTGAAAAATATGTCAGGTTTCACATGCCTTTCTTTTCAAGTTCATCTGTTTCACCTAGTTGAAGAGGTCATAACTTTGAGTCTGATAAATTACTTCTTTATAGAAAACTCTTATGAAGAAGATAATAGGTAGATTAAAAAAAAAATAAAATTAGAGAATACACCTCAAAGAGTAATCTCAAAGTCTAAATCCCCAGTAGTAATCCAAAAGGAATGCGCAGACAAACTTTTAATCTTTAAGCATGACTGTTTCCAGAACTAATTTGAGTTCAACTCTTTAGAAGCAAAGTATGAGAAACAGAGTGAAATATCAATTTTTAGGGCTGAGTACTTTGCCTGAATTCTAAAAAAAATAGGTAAGCATATTAAACTTTGAGGTTTTGTGCACCTATATTAACTATGTACGTTCATGACATCATACACTGTCCAGCTCCCTGTTGAACTTTGGGATGTTCCCTCCTGATATAAATCTTATCCTTCTCATTTACTGTGATTTACTTCATGTCATGAAGCAGTATCAGAAACTGTAAACTGGATTCTTTCTGTACTACTTATGAATTGAAGATGAGTACAACAGATGATGTCCAATTGTTAATGGGCATTTGGTCCACAGAAGCTGTTATCTACTAGTCTGAGTAAACACACCTGAAGTGCATGCAGTATGGATATTGCATCCTTGGCACCAACTTTGCTCTACAAGCCTTCTCCCATGGGGCTGCACTATTTGCTTATGCAGGTGTAATCTCAGTCTTCTGAGTTTGAAGTTTGTCTTTTTGCTGTCACTCTGGTTCTAAGGATTTAAGGATAGAAGTGGGAATATTTGCTTGTAATCCAGGTCACCTCAAGAGTGAGCCTCAGAGAAAATTAGAAAATAATAAGGAGCCTTGGTACATTATAGACAAGAATAAGAAAAGCCCAGAAAGGGTAGATTTATTTATTCTGCTATTTTTAGCACTTTAATATGACCTTTCTTTAGAATACGTAAACATATAGTCCCATGAATTTACATCTGTTAAATACAATTTCATAAATACAACATTTACATGTATCATGTAAAAGAAAGGAAAAGGCTAACTCCTCCAAATAATTCACTCAGACTAACACACAGGTTTTGGTTCTTAGCTGAATTAGAGATACTATTTATGTCTAACTTCTTTCTTTTTTTTTTTTCTTCTTGGTGGCTTTTTCTTCTGTGTTCTATTGCAATGCCATCTTTGAAGACGTTATCGCTGGAATTAATTACTTCTCCGTATACCAGAGCACTGGCATCCTGAATTTGTTACATCAAAGGATATTGACTGAGAAGACAAATAATTAAATGACCCGTAACACAGGTAAATGATAGTCTTGGGATCAAAGAGTTCCCCTACGAACACTGTGTGCTGCTCTGTTCTGCCAGTCATAGAAAGTGTTATTTGGTTGCTGTAGCTGTAGTGAGGTAGCTTTTGTCAGTCCTTCAAAGTGAGTGGTTTCCAAACAGGATCTTCCTGTTTGTTTTCCTTGTTTGCTAATTGTTCAGAAAATACTAAAGTGAATGTAAGACTTGGTCAAATATCAATTCATATGACATGACTACATTAGTGATTGAGGGCTAGATATTGGAACTATTTTCACGTGAAGGAGTAGACAGTCACTGGTAGCCTGATTTGGAAATGGATGGAGACGTCTGGCTAAGAATTTTCTGGTGCAAGAAAATAGTATGCAAAAAGTATTAACTTTAAATCTTATCTTGAACCAAGAGCATTGTTATTAGTCTTCTTTGAAAGTGAGTTAAGCTTAAGATGTAAAAATCACCTCTCTTCTAGTACAAGAGTGCCCATGTAGAAAGCTAATGTAGAAAAGCTAGTGTAGCTGTGGCTCAGACTGTAAGAACTTGTTTGCATAGAAATGCTGTGATGTGCCTTCTTTAAGTATGTCTTCCTTGGAATCATGGATGTGTCTGTCAGTGCCTCTCTCCTCCCTTCATTTACTTATTCCTCACTTTTTTTTGAATATAAATATCTTATTCAGCCACCAAGTTTAACATGTTACACATCATTAGCTTTGAATTAGGTTGGATACTTTGCTGTGGTGCAAATAAGTCAGGAAACTAAAAATCTACATGAGTATTAGAAAGCAGAAATAATATCTGTGCTGTGAAGCAGGCATTCTTCATGTTATGGCTTCTTTGATTATGATGGATAAGAGCTGTTCTCCTGCAGCAAAATAATTTGGAATATATATATATGTGTGTGTGTGTGTGTGTGATACAATATTTAGAAGAAGAATATTTTAAATTATTGTGTTTATCTAGAAATTGATGACTGGATCACTAGCTAGTACAAATTTACATACTGCTTATTGACAGAGATATTACTAAATGACAGTACTAAGAATAAAAACTTGATTATGTGGCTTGATAATATAAACATATTTCCATTCAAAATGAAAGGTCTATAGCTGCAAGGATTCTTGGAAGATTTATTAAATACTCTCTGGTATAGTAAACATTTATTCAGTGTATGTGTAAATAATAATCTCATATGGCTTTCAGCTGTTAGTTTACTATATAAGAATTCTATACTGCTGCAATGGTAATCCGGTATGATTAATTCTTTAGGTAATTTCGTGTAAAATATTTGTCCGTACATCTGTTTTTTTCTTACAATTTTTTATTACCTGATTAAAGTTCATAGCTTATATCCACATTTTTGGTGAAGTACTTTCCATCAGTTCTTAAAATTAACCTTCTCAACTAATAGTCCTCTTTCATTTCTGCTTCTTAGTGTTATTATCATACTAAACCTTAATAAGGAGAGCAAGAGTCAGTGCAGAAATAAAACCCTTTATGAGTGGAACTAAGGACCAAGAGCCGCTAAATCTCAGAATAAGAAAATAATTACTTCACCTAGTCAGTATCCTGAACTGAATTCAACTGCAAAATCTTCATGACTTTGATAGGACCAGATTTACATTGTAAGAAAGACTTGTCTAATGCCAGGATCTTTACCTGGATTCTTTACAGCTGGAAAACTTTATGTGATAGAAGTGAGAATATTAGTATGACAACAGAAGGAAGATACTCAAGAAATGCAGAAATTACCTGCAGGAAGGTTTACAACTCTTCAAGGTAGAAGGAGATGTGTTGTCCTCTGACTGAACATAATAACCCATGAGTAGAACAATTAGGTAAAGTGTATGTCGAATGTCCCTAGTAAAAGGTCTCTTTACTGTGCATGTATGGTTGCTTCCTGTCTCTTAATGATTAAGCAATACAATACAGTTATGTATGATGTCTTTAATGTTCCAGTGGCTTTTATAACTACAGATCATTAAAATTAGTTTTGGTGTGACAGGACAATCATGTAAGAAGTGATTTTACCTCTGTACAGTGGTATCTGCCAACACATCTGTGAAAGACTGTCCTTGCCTGTACAAAAAGGTTAAGTAGATTTTCTGTGAAACGTTTTTAAAGTAATACAACTCCTGTGTGGATATTCTTAGTTTCTTCACAGTTCAGCTTAAACTGATCTGCAATCAGATTCTCAACTCAGAAAGATGCAGAGTTTACAGTGATCTGTTCAGAGGGTCTTTGCATGTGGAGAGAAATTTCTTTGAAGTATTTAACGTCAGTTTTTATGTTAAGAGAGCCTTCAAGATGAAGTTGAAATTCATCTATACCTAATGACAGCTTCTGTTTGCAGTAGCAACTTCATGGAAGAACACAGGACTTTTCCACATTTATGCCTCTTTTCATTGTAGGGCAACATTTTACTGTCTATATCAGAGTTACTTGGTATCCAGCCCTGGTATGTTCTGCCATTTGAAAGTAGGATGATAACTCTTCTTAAAACTATGTCTCTCTGTCCTGGGTTCAGCAGTAGCAGTCATGTTTCTCCTTCTTGGTAGCTGGTGCACTGCAGTGTTTTGACTTTCAGCCTGGGAACAGAACTGATACCAATGTTTTGGTTTGGCCAAGGACTTTGTGGGCCTCATGCTCTGCCAGGGAGGAGGGGAAGCCAGGAGGAAGCAGAGACAGGACACCTGACCCAAACTGACCAAAGAGGTATTCCATACCACAGCACGTCATGCCCAGGAAGGTGACTGGGAGTGAGCCAGAAGGGCTGGGAGACTGCAGGGTTGGAGGAGGTATCGGTCAGAGCTTGGTCGGGCTTGGGGGGCGAGTTATCAGTCAGCTGGTGGTGAGATGTTGTGTTCTCTTCCCTTGTTATTTCCTTTATCATTATTATCATTGGTGGTAGCAGTAGTGATTTGTGTTATACCTTAGTTACTAAACTGTTCTTATCTCAACCTGTGGGAGTTGCATTCTTTTCGATTCTCCTCTCCGTCCCTCCGGGAGTAGGGGGAGGGAAAGAAGGGGGGTGTGAGTGAACGAGTTGCCTGACTGGGTTTAAACCACGACACTCTCTCATCATGCAAAGTGGGACATAGGCCACTGAAAACATGGATTGAGAATGTGCACATAGATTGGTTTGGTTTTGTTTTGTTTTTTTTTTCTATTTCTGTAATTTAATTAATACACATGACATTTTTAAATACACTTACTGCACTTGAAGAATGGTTCCATGTATCTACTACTAGTTAAAAGATCAGAAAGTTCATTTGAATTCTGTTTAGAATGTATGCAAAAACTTGGACTGTAACTCACAAGGATTGAACATGTATGCTTGATCTGGATTTTCCAAACCACAGTTCTGAGCTCTCTTACCTTTATGTCAACAATGGTATGTATTTCCCCCCCAGCCATGAGTTGCTTTGGGTGAGAACACTGGATGAGAAACAGTGGTTTCTTTTTAATAAAAATAACTGCTTTGCACATTAAATGTCTTCATAACAATAAGTAAGAAATTAAATTAATTAAAGACCAAAGAAAATAAATTTACAAAGAAATTTAATTTATTGTTGCTTTTAAATCAAAATTGCTAGAACATGGATCCTTGTTAGGTTCATTCATCCTTGGATAAATGAATGACTTGGAAACAGCTTGTGAAACCATAAATGCTTAGGAAACTCAAGAGTCTTTTCTCTTAGAAAAATTATTTACAGAGAGATCTTTCACTAAATATGTTTATATGACACCTGAAGGTAAAAAGAATGATTTCTTCTGTTATTTCCTTATTGAAGTACTGTTGGGTTGAAGGAAATTATTGAAATAGTGAGCCTTTAAAACATCATTCACCTGGGCTGGTTTGTTCACTGCTATGTGTGTTCTCCAAACACATATTTAAAAAAAATTGGGTTTCATGTTTAAGCAAGGCAGAAGGTATTTGCAGCAAACACTATATTTTGATAATATTAAAATATTGCTAATTTTTAAACTTCTCTTTTTCACTACTTTGACCATGTTTTGAATGTCAGTAGCATTTAGTGAGCTTTTGGAAGGTTAAAACAAAACAAGATAAACCCAAACTTGTCTTAATGATAGCGTAGATACTGGGACAGACAGTTTACAGGCACTTTTGCTGCCAAGTAATTTATAAAATGTGGGACACTTTGCATTGATAACACTTACTAGAATAAACTGAAGTGTTTTATTATTTAATTTGTTAATTAAGATATGGAAAGATTTTATAATGCAAAGCTCTGCGAGCCACTTCCCTTGAGGTGCTAAAACTCCCGATGAAGTCCTGCACATACTACAGACATTTCCATGTGCAAGACCAAACTGGACTCTTATTTCTGAATGATGATTTTTTTCCAGTTCAGAGTTAAAGAGGTACCAACTGCTGAGATGCCTTTGTCTTCCCTAGAAGCAGGATGTGACCAATCACTTCGTAACTTGGTGAGAAGAGGGAATTGGGATGCAGCTGGCCATCAGATGCTGTCTCCAAGCTCTTTGCAAGCTTCCTGCTCTGCACAGAGTATCTTGCCTTTGCGGGTTCCTGAACCAGACTGTGGGAACTCATTGGAAGATCTGCATTAGTGACCAGCTCCCACTGAGCTCCTGCAAGAGCAGAATGTTGCCTAAAGTGCGGATTTTTTCTGCTTCTTATAAAAAAAAGAGGAATAGTACATCTTTCTGTAGGAGGCTTTGTCAAGGCATAAACTGGAAATGTGTTCCTGGAATTGCTTACTATCAATAAAAAGCATTTGAAACTTAGATATAAGTTTTCATAATGAATTGTTTGGGAAAAGCATTTTTGTGCTAGTACTGTATACACATCAGACCTTTGGGCTGACAAATAATGTCAATAAAATATGATATTACCCTTCCAGCAAATGTCTCTAGCATTGATTAGGTCATGGATTGATATGCAGCTTAATTAATTTGTAAATTAATGACTAATATCAACTCGGGGGAGAGGGGTTAACAGTTTTGTCTAAAAATATCTACTAGAAGAAGGGAATGAACTTAATTTCTTAAAGATTAAATAGGTTGGGATTCCTGGGGATCTGCTTTTTTGACCATGTTATTTCATGATCCCTGCTGTCGGGAGGGCAAGTAGGGGAGTCAAGAAACATCAAGAAATGTAGCTAGGACTGTACAGAAACTGTTGTGGCACTGGAAAAGATACGCAAGTTAGCATGCAGTGAGGCTTGGACCTCAGTGAGGTAGGGAAGAACATCGCAAACTGATGTAACTGGAAGAACATCTTAGGAGGAGGGTGGGGGAAGATATGCCTGATATAGAAAATCAAGAATTATCTATCCTGTATCAATTCTCCATTATGTATAATAGCAGAAGACAAAATGCAGGCATTATGGTGTCCTGAGGAAACTGTTGAGAGGCTCTGAAAGCAACCTGCCTTGTCCTCCTTTTCTAGAGAGAAATAAACCAGGATTTTGGGTCAATGTTGGCTATCTTACAAAATAAGACATTCTACTTTCCTGAAAAACACTGACAATCTGAAAACAATGGGTTGTAATTAGGCTGCTCAACAATTACCACCTGAAACTTTGTGATACAGCAAGGTCAATTTCTTGGTATTTTTACTCAACACTGTTGTGAGAAACAAAATTACTTCTTCTTCCCTCTATATGTTACCTCGTAGCCCAGTCCAGAGCCCTTCCAGACATCTAATATGCAAAAGGGAGTCTTATAACAATTAGCCTATGGGCTACTTTTCCTTCTCCTTGCTTCTTTTCACTTGTGGACAGAAGAAATGGTGCAGTTGTAATACTGGTTTTTGACATTTCAGGAAAAAGGTAGGATCCCAAAACTGAAAAACAGCAGAAATACTTTGCCCATGAGGCAAGGAGGATCTATTCCAGCCTGGGACTTAGAAGTTCAGGAGATCTTCTGGGCTTTGGGGAGAAAGAGGTATTGCTTCATTAGCCATACCTGCTCTGTAAAGAAATGGAGGACTTCAAGTATCAAGACTGAGTGAGGCATATTTCAAAAGCAGCAAATTAACCTAATATTTGTAAAGCATACTATAAATTTTGCAAATACCTGAAATAAAGAAATACTTGAATATAAATGCCATTATACTGGTGAAATTTATACTGGAGAAAATATTTGCCTGCTGCTTTTCAGACAGCTTCAACAGCTTATTAATGTTAATGTAAATTAAATAACTAGTATAACAGCGCAATCTCATTGTAAAAAATTATCTTCCAGTGCTTATATTCTGTTGACTGAACAGATAAAAAAGTAAATATGCTGTTGTTAAATACCTTATACATGAATGAAGAGTGGGGAAGAAACCAAACATAGCATCTGAATTTAAAGATTCTCCTTTTGGAATTTAGAGCAGATGTGGTGTGTAAAATAAGCTCTGGTACTTTTATTAAGGCCATGAAGTGTGGTTGTAAAAAGGTGCTGAAGCAGCTTCATGGGTCGTGGTTCATTAACTCTAATTGTCACGTCTGGATTCCGTCTGATGGATGATCAGGTCTTTCCTTTCTCACATCTGTTTTCTCACTGTCTTCAGGTGACCAGCTTCCAACGCTACCTCTTTCAGAAGTATTTTCAACAACGGATCTGGGTAACATTCTAAACCACTTGAGTCATACTTGAACGTATCTTTTTCTTGTTGGGTTTGTTCCTTTTCTTGTACTCTTCCTGTGTGGACCTTTCTTCTGGAGAGAATAGAGCCATCATTAATGAAAAGCATTTTAGATTTTGAGAGATTATGTTACATAAATGTTTTCCTACTTGACAAGACTTATTTTTTGAGATCAGAAAATTCTGCATACATTAAAACCAGAAAATGTAAAAGACATATTGAACACCAAGTGACTTCTGATTTCAGGCTTGAGATGAGGGAGTGAAGCAGCAATATTTTACATACCACCCACATAAGACTACCACATAATTTATAGCATGTGGCCATCTGTGTGTTTCCCAAGTTCTTGTTTCTTTATCAGAATTAACTGTGAACCAAAAGCAGAACATTAACTATTGTCAGAGGAAAAAATATGGAATAAGAAAAGAATGTTCCTCCCTTAATTTCAAGTTGTTTGTGACTGGAAGTTTTGTCACAGTTGTTTGGTGTCCTAAGAAAAGCAATAAATGCTGTCAAACTAGTGTCAAACAACACCTATCTTTTTAGTGGTAAATATATTTATATGAGCATAGAACTATCTGTTTTCCCCACTAGAACTGAAAAATATGAAAAAATTCAGAACTTGGAATTTATTTGGCAAGTTGAATTCCAAAGCATAACTAAAACCATGGTTATGGTAACAGAGGAATTAGCTTTCATTACTATGAAAAATTACATATTTTTTTTGTTTTCAGTGTGGTTTAAGTACTGTTAAGTACTGTTCTTTAAGCATATAAATAAAGCTGAGTTGTTAAACATTAATTTCATTAGCATGATTTGTAGTAGGGAGTTTTCTGAAATCAAGAGAAATAACAGCTGTAATTCTATAAACATATTTTCTGAGTAGACAAAATCAAAGTCTAAGATTGTATTTTCTTGGCTGTTGTATTTTCTTGGCTGTTAATGCAGTCATAATTATTCAAAAAATCTTTAATTCTATATCCCTGATGTACTGTGCCAAAATAAAATAATCAATAAACTGTAAGCATGTGAAAGTTACAACACTTCTCATGTTACTGGTTTTAAATCTATTGAATTGTTTATACACACCCTAAAGTTTAAAAAAAAGTTCTTATAAATCCATTTTGTCATTAACAACAGACATAGCAACCTAGAAGTATTAACAACATTAAACGTCAATAAGTGTATTTATTTAACAAGTGTATTCCATTTTTATTAATGAACTTGTTTTCCTTGAGAATGCTACAGTCATGAGATATTCCTATCAGAATTGTCTGATACTAATTTCTCAAAATCCTATTGGCATTCATGTTTCTTTAAAAATATTCCCTGTAATGTAAACCAGGAAGAAATGTCACAGATACACCAAGTATCCTACTTCCCACTTCCATTAACTTGTTAAAAGGGTCACTTTACTAACTGATAAATACACTTGGATATAGCTATCTATATGACATATGAATGTTAGCACAGGATTACTCTGTTCAGGTTTATTATCTGAGCAGTGGTTTAGTTCTTTTAGTTATAATCCTAAAAATAATACATTTGACTAGGAGGGTAAAAGGATGTCTCCTTCCCAGGTTGAGCACCTGAGAAGGAGAAAAAAGATGTGTAATTGCTAAGCACCTCCATCATATACCTCCCAAAGTATAAAGGTGGTGACCACACTGGGAACATAAGCCAGATCAGTTTCATGATCAATGATTCTATTGTATTACAAGTCATTACCATAAAGTACAATGGGACAAAAACCTTAGCCCAAGTCCCACACTTGAAAAACACTAATACAGCAAATACCAGATGGAAGTAAGATACTATATACTGAAACTGTGAGATCAAGAGGAACAACCTTGAGAGCCAATAAATCAGCATTGTGACGAGTGACTATCAATCCAGTCAGATCTGTTCTTATCTCAACCCCTCGTGCCCCACGTTGGGCGCCAAAAAGAACTGTCGTGGTCTAACCAAACTAAACCATCTTGTTTTACCCATGTTTCAATATGCCTTGTGACTGTCATTAAGAGTCTTCCTATTCTGTAAAAAAAATCTGGTTCCACTCTATAGTATAAACTCACTGTTTTATTCTGGACTCTGCATATCAGCATTAATTTCAGTCTTTTACAGCCTCCACTTTTCTATTATTTATTCTGAGGCAGGATCTAACTGATCCTGATTTAGCCATGGCATGCTAAACTCATTAATGTATTATTCTGGAGTTTTCTCCATAATATCCATATGCCTAAAAGCGTAAAACAGAGATGAAAAGTGATGGATTATTCAACAGCATCTCTGGCCTTTAGTCTTACCATGTTTTTGTATTTTTATTGTCTGAAATTTGACTTTTTTTTCCTGCATTTTATCTATAGGTTACAAGTTCACTAGCCTTATTTTCACACTGCAACATCTTAATTTCAGCCTGTTGTGGGCCTTTTCAATTTTCTTCAATAACAGAAGGAAGTGAGAGGTGTTTAAATACACTCATAAATCATTTTTATGCAAAGCTCTCACTTTTTCAATCTCCAGTATTAATTTACTTCATGTTATAGTTTCAAATACATCCTAGTCCATGTTTTCAGATGTTTGACCTTTATTAGCTGCATAAAATAGAATATAATTTCTGCTTTGATAGCATCCAAACCCCAGAATTCATCATTAGGGAGTTACTCCATCTCCAGTTCTTTTCTCTGGGACCACCACTAGTTGTTTTTAATTTGCCGCCTTTACATATACTGAACATATTTAGTCTCGGATATCTGATCTACACAATCTGACATCAAAGAAAATGAGGCCAACATATATTTGACCTGTTGCATAAATTTGCAGCTAGGAAAACTGTTACATTCCCTGAGAAGAATACTGGTGCCTTTAGTTGTTGTGAAATTTAGTTTGATTTTCTTTCTTCTTTTTTTTTTTTTTTTATTCCCTCATCTCCAGCTACTCCTTCATACTTTCTCCATAATCGATTGGTCCTGAACTCCTTAGGTGCCTATGTTCCTGCCTTCATAATATGCATTTTTGTTTTTGCAGCCTTGCAAAATGCAGTTATCCAAAACTTAAAATATTTGCCTAACCTGTCCTTTGATTGTCCTCTCCTGTATTTGAATTGTTACTGGACTCAGGTCTTTGCTCTTGCCTTTGTAAAATACCTTTCTTGAATTGTTCTTTCTGTTTGGGCTCATGAGTCCCATTTGGTTCATTTAGGCTCTGGCCTGTACCAAACATGGCCAATTTATGTTAGTGTAACAAGTCGCAGATGAGCCATCCTACCTCTCTGCATGGGTGTTTCCTAACTTGCCCCACGTGCAAGGAAAGTGCTGTTAGTGTGCATCTCAGTGGAAGGAGTTTTCAAACCCCCTGTGTTTAAGATGTGTGAGAGTAAGATTGTACATAGGGGAACAGGCAATGTAGACTGCTTCTAGAAGGGAGGAAGTGATACAGAGTTACAGAAGTGTAGAATAGGAGGAGTGTGCTTGGTATTTTCTAATCACTATTAACTCCTAATATCTTTGTTATAAATTACCTAACCATGTTTCCATTCTTCTATTTTTTTTTTTTACCTTAACTTTGCCCTATTTTGTCTTTATACTTTTAATCCTGCCTCACTGTGTTGCTAGTATTTTCTCTTTCTCTGTGCTTCCTGACCCATTGAGCTATCTTCTATGGAAATCCCATTAACAATGTCTGAATCATCTTTTATTTTTCTAAATGGTTTTGTTTGCTTGGGTTTGTGGTTTTGTGATTGTTTGTTTTGCTTGGGTTTGGGGTGTTCTTTATTTTTTTTTTATTTTTGATATTTGTTAGCTTCCTTGAAGTTGGAAAGGCTTTTTTTGAGAATGTTTCTGGAAGTCAGGAGCATCCGTACCATGGAACAGGAAATAATGAAGTCTTCAACTAGAGGTTAGTAGATTCTTTATTGTGTTTAGGTGGAAGTTGCATGAAATCCAGTGATGATGAGGAAATACATTGATTGAAAAGACCTGGCATTTTTAAAATAGGTTTTGTAAATAATTTTTCTATTTAACCCTAAGTATCAGGCTTATTTAGTAGTGAAAATATCTACAGAAATGGGTATTTTTTTGTTTTCAATCAATGCACCAAAATCTTATCTTCTCTGTTATACACACCAGTTTAAGTACAGATTTATGATGCTTTTACAGAAATCTACCTCTACCTTTTCTTTCCACTTCATCAGCCAGCCACAAATGAAATATGCATGGAACTCAATGCTGTACAATGAAGAATTAAAGAAACTAAAGAAAAAAAATTATCTTGAGGTATGTTTCCAAGATTCCATCTAGGTCATTGTAAAAAAAAAGCCTCCCTAAGGTAATTCATCTATACTTCTACAGCTGCCTTTTTACTTCACATGTACTGTTTAGTCCTGTCCTGATGAGAGTTACCTGAGGTCTGTGGAAGCAGAAGTAGTATGAGACCCTGGGGGAAAGAACATGAGAGCCAAGCAGAAGTGTGAACTAATTTAGACGCATTTCAAATGTTTCTAGCTACACAATGAGTCTGAGTACATGCTTATGCATATACTATCTCAGCAATTTTCTAGGGCACAAAGCCAGGAGAGATCCCTGAGATTAGTGAGCCCTTTTCTTCCTATATTCTTTCATATATGATTCTCCCACACATAGAGAACTGGGAAGCCTCTATCCTACTCATAAAACATAGTCCTCAAAAAGCCTTTTCTAAATACCACTCACACAGATGGGGTGGAAGAGTATCTTACCACTGAAAGAAAAATAGAATTAGACAGAGAACAGGAGCTCATGGAGTTGTTTTATTTATTGCCTTCTTCCAACCCAAACTGTTAGGTTTTTAATCTGAGAAGGACTCCTTAACCTCTCTGGCACTTACTCTGCTATGTATATATATCAGCAACATTTACCTCCCAACAAGAGGAAAACTGTTGTACATTTCTGAGTTTAATAAGAAGGTCATCCAATCCACAAGTGTTACCCAACAATTCAAAAGCAATCCTATGACTCCAGTATGGATTGTGTTTAGTCCTAAAATAATATGTACCAATTCTTTAGGGATTCCTGGGAAAGTCTCAATGTTCAGTCT